TACCGACCATCCAATTTGAACAAAAGAATAGCCACCAAATGATTAGAAAATCTAAACAATGTGATTTAGGATCGACCAAGATAAAACATATGAAGTTATCCTTTCCTAAATCTTAAACAAACTGAGGAACTTCTATATGCTTAGGAATTGAGTTAGACAATTTCTGTGTCTGGTAGTTAATTCGTACAATTGATTGTTCATTGATTAGTGACGGTCGAATTTCGTCGATCAATTTACAATGTGGACACACACAAGTGCAAGACGATGCCATGTCAATTATATCGACAAATCAATTTAGAGTCTTCAATTAACATTTAAAGTCGGAATATAGCAACTACTTAACTAGTTCTATGATTTTATGGGGTATTTACCAAGTGAACTATGAAAGCTGCTCCTAGAGGTCAGTTAAAACTGTGTGAATTGGGTTACAACTCATGAACATTATCGGTTTCCTCAAGATTACAGATAAGCCAACAGGAATAAAATTTAGTATAAACGTCGTTATCTGCTGACTATCTACAGAATGTCACGGAAATTTACGATGATTTAACCCTAAATCATCAAAAATATTATACAAATTGAGATTAAAAGTCATAACAAATCAGAATGATGGATTTCGGATGGAAAGTAGCTTCCAGGACATTTGACATAAGCACTCCAAGTAAGGACAGGAGTCAAACAAGGTTCCCAACTCTTCCTCATTCTCTTTCTTCTGGTCGACTGGATGATGAAGACTTCCACATCTGAAGGAAAGAACGGAATACAATGGACAGGTTGGATGCAACTACACGATTTGAACCCTGTAGATCACCTGGTCCTTCCATCTCATATACATCAACGAATGCAGGTCAAGACAAACACTGTACCAACAGCTTCTGCAGCAATAGGCCTTAACATACACAAACGAAAAAGCAAGATCCTTGAATACAACACCAACCCAATCATACTTGATGGAGAAAATCTGGAAGAGGTGGAAACATTCATATATTTGGGTAACATAGTCAATGAACGTGGAGGATCTGACATAAAGGTAAGAAATGACAAACAAGGATAGTACTTCTACAACTGAAGAACATATGAACCTTAAAACAACTGTCTTCAAGCCAACATCAAATTCACAATCTTCAATGCGAATGCTAAGATAGTTCTACTGCACGAAGCTGAAACTTGAAGAACTACCACAACCATCATCAAAAAGGTACAAGTAGTTGGGAAAAGACGTTGGAAGTGGATATGACATATATTGAGAAAATCACCAAACTGCACCACAAGGCAATCGCTAGCTTAAAATCCTGAATTAAACGGAAAATTGTAAGGCCGAAGAACCCACTGCATCGGGAATCGGAATAAGACATTAAAATGATGGATAGCAACCGGAAACAAGTGGAAAGGATTGCGAAGGACAGAGTTTGATAGAGAATGCTTGTAGGCGACCTATGGTCCATGACAAGGCGTAACAGGCGTAAGTAGCTGCAGTAAGTGTATACACAAACAAAAATATAACCCACACAACTAAAAAAACCGACACTTCATCATGTGGACTTGATTCCCACCACACTTAAAATAAGCTTTAGAAGGTTTTCACACACACCACACACACACACACATACAACATAAAGATATCCACTTCAAACCTTACAAGATTCTTAACATTAGATACAGAAAATCGATAAATCAATTTTTATAGTTTTAAGTTCCTTTTCATGAATAATGACTGTATGAAGATGAAGTTTAATTTGTTCTCTAAACGATCAAGATAGTAACAATAATAAGTACATCGATACAATTTATTCAATATTGATTTGAGCAAAACAAACAAACTATAATTGTAAATTAAAACAACACATTATGGATTCACGCTACTACCAGTAGTAACACATGATTATATTAAAGGTACAAAATATCAACATGTTTATGCAATAGATATACAATATGTGTAGGCCTCTTCATATATATATAAAGAGCGGATATTCGAAATGGACTGTTATGCAATATAGTGATAACGAAGATCAATTTTTGTGTTAGAAAAATATATTGCGGAATAACAAAACTGTATAACTTCTATCCCAAATGAACTCAATTCATTTCACATGTAAACGTGATACATACATTCGGATTTTGAGACGATCAGTGTTATAACCAACACAGAATCAGACAAATATGTGTATCCGTTCAAGTCTCATACTGAAGTAGTTGAGCGGGTCGAACGATTCACTTATCTTGAGAGTCTCATCAGCCTTTGTGGTCTGGTGTGTGACGAAATCTTAACACGGATACAGAAAGCTCGACTAGCTTTTGCCAACTTGCATCATTTATGGCGTAGGCGAGATATCCGTCTACCAACCAAAGGACGAGTTTACTGTACAGCAGTTCGTTCCGTCCTACTTTAACGGCTGTGAAATATGGCCGGTAAGAGTAGAGGACATTTGTAGGTTACTAGTATTCAGTCATACGTGACTTAGAAGCATTGCTCGTACATCCTAGGACCATCGAGTAAGTAATGCAGTTATTAGGAAACGGGTATTACGTAAGGATGGAAATCAATTGATAAAGTAATGAAACTTCATCAGTTGAGATGGCTGGGACACGTGTTACGTATGCCCAACCACCGACTGCGTCGACGAGAGATGTTTTATGGTATAAGAGTAGGTTGCAAGAAAGTTAGCGGCGACCAGACCAAAATATGGCACAAAACCATAAAGTCACAGACAAGTGGACTGAGCCATGTTGGTAGTGTAGACTACTTGGTTGGGATCCGCGAGAAGATAACATCGATGGTTAGAGACCTTGAATGACATGGCTCAAAATTGTTAGCAATCGCGCAGGTGTATCCACTCTTTGTGTCCTCCCGAATTCTAATCTTCTGAATTCTTCATGTCAGTTTGTTTTTTCTCTTTCCAAATTTATATCACTCCTTAAATAACATCTTTAAACTAATGTTTCCAATAACTGCTTATACTTTTACTACCTCTACCATATGGGATTTGAATCAACAATTGTATCTCAGTCCTAATGTGGTATGGCAATTTGAACTGACGTACGTAGGTACGAAGTTCTAGGTTGTTGCTGACTGACTGCCTGACCAACACCAAAACGAAATTATAAAAACAAATATCACAGTAGTAGGATTAGTAGTAGAAGTAACAACAGAATCAATGACAGTAGGAAAGATTAAACCTAGACAGTATGATTCGAAAGGAAAAACTGAATTCACCGAATCAAATGTGTGAGGCTATTTTAAAACTCTACATATGAATGAAAGCAACTACTTCATTCTGACCAGTTCTAAACAACGTCACTCAATCTTTTCAACCATTGATTACAGTGATCATGTATACAGCAAGCAAGTAGTTTGTATGTACCAATACAGTTCAATCCAACAGTCGATAACTTCATGGAATAAAGTAATGTTTTGATCTACCCTCTCCTAGCTTTCTTACAGCTCACTTATACCTAAGCAAATATCATAAATGACGTAAGTTGGCAAGGCGAAACGAACGTTTTGAATCCGTGCAGAGATTTCGTCAAACACCAACCCATTAGGGCTGATCAGACGAGACAAGAAACAATTTAGTTACATTTCAGTCAAAATGAACAATTATAGATATAGACAACAAAGTTATTACACTTTTTTATAATTTTACTGTTCAGTATTCGCCGAATTTTTTCAATAGTCATCTAATGAATATCAAATCGTGATGTTGCCAGGCTATCGACAGAAAAAAACATAAGGGGAAATTGATAAGGAATAATAATAATAGAGGTTAAGCGTTAGCGTGCAAGACTGATAGGTTCTGCATTCGAATCCCGCGAGTGGGATCGTGGATGCGCACTGTTGAAGAGTCCCAAACTTGAAGGGAACGGCCATCCAGTGCTTCCAAGTTTTTCATGGTGGTCTAGACTTAATTGACTCATGAATTCAACTACTGAATAATAATAACGCCGATTTCCGTGTGCAGATTAAAAAAGACGACGAAGTGTCCAAAAAAGATAAATAATCAAAGAATGAAATAACAGTATTAGAAATTTCAAGAAAGATATTGAACCAAATCACACATGAAAAAATGTTCCATTACAGATCATAGTGACTTCGTAAACATTGACGAGAAATCAAGATTAAAAATCAAACTAACTAATTCATTAGGTACTTGGGTATAAGTAACACCTTAAGTGTGACGTTTAGTGATACTATTCGGTTGTCCAAACAGAAATAAGTAGAGAGGGGTTCAAGCCTGGGACTTAGTGGCTGAAAGTCGAACGCCTCAGCCACTAAGCTATCGCTTCTCTCACCAACCACCAGAAGACCTGTGCATATGCCAACATGATTAAATCGAACTTTTGATGACATGATGTGCAACTGTCATATCCTGATTCGATTATTCCAAATGCCCTGATATGGTCGAGGCTAAAGGAAAGTTCGCTCTCCCTCTCGAAATGCTCTCACATGGCAACGCGAATACAGCCTACTCATTGCCTTCTCGAGGCATTACTGTTCCTTACAAAATTGAGAGGACGAAAAGCGAATGTCCGGTACTTTAATAGTGTTGGTGGACACGGTGGATCCACCTAGAAAAGTTGGAAAACCCTCACTCCGAACCAATTGTGCACACAGGTTCCAGGATCCCGAATGAACAAACGTAGTGGGAACCAGTTATTGGTCACCGGCTATCATGGGACTACATCTCCTTACGTTGCTCTACTGTCTTGTAGATCAGACCTTTAGATCGAAGGATCTGGGTGCGGCCCCCTTACAAAATCATCTGCTTCGTTCTGGGCATCTGGGAAGTCCACACATAAATCAAGTAGCTTGTGTGGCGCATATGTATTCGGTGCCCCTTTCTACCGATATTTACTTGTTCAAATAGATAAACAGGATGCACATATGCCAAAAAGAGGCTGACCAATTGCAGGTCTTAACTTCAACAACGGGAGGATAGAAATATCCGCTATAAATGAACTAACGTTAATATCCATTTAAAGAAGGAAGAGAGAGAACTTACTTCAAAATTGACTAGCAAATGTTGTGAACTACCATGTGGTACTGGTGTACATGCCATAGTATTTGCTAAACGACTTGTTATATTTTTATGTGGTTGAAAACCACGACCTCCAGACGGCGGTGCACTACAACTTAATTCAATTGAATCCATTTCTACAGGATAATTACGTCGTCTTGCTCCTGTTACTGTATGTCGATTATTAGAACCACCAATGATAGAACTATTAACAGTATTGCGTTCAAATGATTGTTCTTGATATTGAGATGTAAATCGTAGACTAGATGGTCGTCGACGAAATGATGTGATAGTTTGATTTGATTTATTGCTATTAGTTTCATTATTATCATTACTACTGTTATCAGTATTATTATTGAATTTTTTGTCAGATTTTAAACTTTCCATCCCTGATGAAGGTTCTTTAACATGATCTGTATTGATTTCACTGGAATTTTGCAAATTATGATTGTATACCATACAAATAGAGCTAAAAAAAGAAAATAATGGGTATTGAACAGAATCGATATATAAAGATATTAGGAAAGAAGAAGAAGAAGGAGACAAAAAAGAGGTCAATAATTGAACGTGATCGGTAATTATATTCTATATAATTTGAACAGATAATAACATTATTTGATACCCTCCAGAAACGCAAACTTTTAACCTAAAGAACCTTGTATGTTTTCGATTAAGTATGAATACACATACATAATATAGCCATAAGATACCGGAAATATTGAACCATTTAGTAGTGATGAAGAGGAAGGTTGAGTAACACACTAAGTCGGGAAATAGAAGCAGATATGAAAAGGATGAATAGCAACTGGAAAGGTTTGACCAGGACACGGTTGGATGGAGAGTGCTGGTGAGCGGCCTATGCTCTTCCGTGAGAGGTAACAGGCGTAAGTAATTTTATATCATGATTACAGATGTTTTTATTGTGAAAGGCAGCGATAACAACTTTAAAAATTGATGTTAGAACCCCTTGACAATTTCTTGGAACTTTTAGAAATCAGTAAAATGTTAAGACTTCTCCAAGCAATCAGCGTTTTTTATTAATACGATCATGAATTTGTTATTTATTTTAGTATGCTATTAACAATTTCTTTCCGGAATCTCAGGGTCACTCATAATCCTGTGAATACCCTTGATTTCTGTACACTCATCAATCTTCGAAGTAAAGCTTTTTGTATACTCCCCAACTTGTGTTTTCTGTATGGAGTTCACGAGTAGACGACTTTTTACGATCAGAAAGCTATTATAAAGCCTAATTATTATTTATGCACAACATAAATCAAGAAATTTTGAACGAGAAATAAAATTTGATCGTTTTAGAAAAATGAAATGCTTCTATTATCGTTCTGGACAATAAGATCAGTGTCCGACTCAAGTATAAGTTAATCGACGTAGGTACTGACGAGATAGTCCAGAACAATAACGAAAGCAAACTAAGAGAACGCAACAGCCTGTGACTTAATTTTATGAACCAACCGTTGGAAGTCAGGTTTAAGTAGCACCCATCAAGACCTGACGTAAAACTTTAAGAATAGTATCTACATAGAACCTGGAATGCCTTAGAGTGACATTGCTTATGGAATCGATACTGATCGAAGTTGAAAGCTGCCCTGGTACGGCCGAGGGTGAGGAAAGTCAGCTCTTCCTCTCACAATGCTCTCACATGGTCACGTGTATACAACCACTGACAGGGAAGCCCTACTCACTGCCTTCTCGTAGCATTACTGTTCTTCACGAAGTTGAGAGGACGAAAAGCGAATATACGGCGCTTTAACCAGGTCGGTGAATACGGAGGATCCATCTAGGGAGTCGGAAAACCCTGATTCCAAACAAAATGGCGTATGAACCTATTGTTGGTTACCGGCTACCATCAGACTGTATCTCTTGACGTTGTTCCATTGCCTTGTGGATCAGACCTTTAGGTCAAAAGCTCTGGGCGTGGCCCCGTAGGAAAATTACTTGCTTAGGTCTGGACATCCAGTCAGTATCACAGCCCACACGCAAATCAAGTGGCTTGTGTGGATCATATGTATTCAGTGCCCTTTTGTACCAATATTTGTGTTCAAACAAATAAATAAAGTGGGTGGGAATCATGATCTATTAAAGACAAAATTATTCTGTTTCAGTGTTTAGGACTCTTTAACTACAATTAATTCATGATGTAAACTATGGAAATTCAACAACTCAAATAATCAGTTCCCTCTCCCACCTGTAGCAATACAAAAATTGTCTTGATAAAAGTGTTTAGTTTTGCATTAATAATAGTAATAATTAATGTATGTATTGATGTTTAGGACTCCAATTGATCAGTCTCTTAATGGATAGCAGTGGAATCTAGGATGAGTGTTTCGTCCCATTAGTGACTCATCAGAAGGATCTAACTGTATCTCAGAGTTGATGTTTAACCTGAGACACGGCTGACACATTTGGAAACGTCAAATCATTCAACTTTATTTATTAATCAACCTTTTATTTATTCATTTTAACTATGTAAAGTTCTTTCACCATTATTAATTCTAATCCGTAACACCACCTATGATCAAATAATCACAAACTTTTTACGCTAAGACTTAGGCTACTACTACAACACCACCGAATTCCATACTTAACACTTAGGTAGTTGGAAGTAGTCAGCGAGAAACCTTGTTTTCCTAAGGTTCTGTACTAATTGGAACTTATAAGCAAGGTGTATCGGCAATTCGAAGGTGTCGCCAAAGAGCGATTCAGGACATCACTGACTTCATGTACGAATTACATATCTATAATTGATTGATCGTTGTGTATTAATTAACATCATGCTTGTCTAGTGCTTTAATGCTGACCATATTCTACTGATCAAGTTGTAATGTAGAATACTATAATTATGGTAAAATTAAAACAAAGAAACACAATTTGAATTTTACCTTCTAGATGTTTTCATGCGATTCAATGATAAATCGAAATCAAACTTTCCACTTGTACTTCTTTTGAGAGGAACCTAAAAAGTATAAGAGAGGTGATACATATTTCAAAAGGATTGAATTAAATCAGCAAATTGATTAATCAAATGATAATGGTTGGACACAAACAGTTGTCAAATATCTTCAGGTAAGAGATCTTGGGTTTTCGATATTTGGAACAATATCTTCAACTGGAACACTTTATTCTTTATTTTCAGAACGAAGCTGGAATGATGCTAGCTTAGAAGGGTAACTTAGATCCATATATTTCTTTCGTTTTTATTATACAAACAGTAGATTTATGTGACATATCAGAAGCATCAAATCCAGACTGTTGCCTCAATTCTTGGGAAAAATCAATGGGTACGTCAACTGATCTGTGTTATGAAGTGTCTCAGCATTCGAAATATCTTTTAGAACGTATCATTTAGGCTGCCTAGATTCAATAGTCATGAATTAAACAATAGTTAGCAGAAATAGCTGGACAACTCAGCTAGATGAATTAATTGACAAAGGGATTTTATCTGTTTTTTTTTAAGCGTCTAAGTGCATCATTCCACTTGCAGATTGTTTTAACAACATCAACTTTTGTGCATTTGACAGCTTGAATAAGATGGAATAAGTTACAGACGATAGCCAAATGTAGCTACATCTACCATCTTTACAACGCATTTTGATATCTAGGTTTTGTGGTTTTTAAGTATGTTCACATTAACCGTTGGTTTTTACGAGCTAACCCCATGTTCACTTACTACTAGTCAACAACTGACATACATTAAAGAAGACAGAAGCTGGTTACATGTAAAACAATCTAGTCAGTTGAATTATGACCGATTCAACTATTTGCACTGTCTATGATCGCTAACCTAAATGAACAATACACACTTTTCGTTGGTTTTATTAGATCAAAGTAAGCATTAAGAAATATATATAGCCACAAATGCCCTGGTGCAGCCGAGAGTGGGAAGAGTTCGCTTTCCCTCTCCAAATGCTCTCACATGGCCACATGCATGCAACCACTACCAGGGAAGTCCTGCCTTCTCATGGCAGGGGTGTTTATTGCGAAATTGAGAGGACGAAAAGCGAATATCCGACGCTTTAAACGGGTTGGTGGACACGAAGAGTCCACTTAAGGGAGACAGAAAACCCTCATTCCAAACCAATGGTGCACATGGGCTCGAGTATCCTGAAGTAACAAATGGCGTATAAACCAATTGTTGGTCACTGGCTACCATGGGACTTTGACCTTTAGGTCGAAGGCTCTGAGTGTGGCCCCCTAAGAAAACAACCTGCTTCGGTTTAGACACCCGGATAGTATCCTAGCACTCACATAAATTGAATTATTTATGTGGCGCATATCTATTTGGTCCCTCCTTATACTAATTTTTATGTTTAAATAAATATAAATAAATAAATAATCATATATATGTGACTTACATACATTTCTCCAAACAATTCACTGTATGGCATAATTTCTATCTAATTAACATATAAATATGTAATTTAATAGTTGATTTCATGAGTCAGTGGAAGCTAGACCACCATAGAATATTCTGGAAGCAATGGACGGTCGTTTCTTCCTAGTACGAGACCCCTCAACTGTCCAATGCTTTCAGGTTTTCCATGGTGGTTTAGCTTCAATTGACTCACAAATTCAACTATTAAATTACTATAATATCCATAAAATCCTTCTCTGAATATAAATATGTCCTATAGAGCGATAACTTGCGTAGGTTAGTAAAACATAAAACAGTCTTTATATTTATGTAATAAGCAATCAACCATAAAAGTCTATGAGAAATTGAACGTTAATGGAATGGTCTATACGTTACTTAATCCACCTAGTGACAAATGAAAGTACCATATATATACGTTTATCCATTAAGCCAGCGGTTGTCTGCTTCTTAATAATCATAACTGAAATAAATTACATTTATTAGTTTATAATTGAAAATGTACTAAAAGTGTATTATTTATAGATTGTTTTACGTCTTATGCTAATGTTAAACTCCTTCATATTCAATTCATAAATTGTTTTTCATGTCCTAGCAACCTCTTCCCCTCCTCCTCCTCCCTTCTACCTTCCGAAAAAAAGTATTAGAACATTAAAGTGTAGCAATAAATGGAATTCCTTTTTAAAATGACATACGTCATTTTAACACAGAGAAAAGTAATGTAAGTTTTATTAATACACAAATTACACAATATTACCAAATATAGGTATTGTTATTTCAATCAAAAAAAGAGAAATAAACATTCAATGTAAAACAAAATAGAGCAAAAGATAACATGAAATGATGATGTAACTCAAGTATCAAATACCAAATAATGTACTCAGGTTTTAGTCATAATTTGTGTATATAGAGTAATGATATTATTATCCAATAGATCAGATCAAAAGCGAAACAGAATTCAAACTTATAATCTCGTTGTTAAAAGTCAAACATCTTGATCATTAAATTATCGCTTTACGGAGTAAGTAAGTGATCAAAATGTGGAAAAAGTACTCCATTATAATTGCTGTACTACCTTTTGTAGTAACTAAAATGTATTAGAATTTTGGAGATAAAGTATAAGACATTGCGAGCAATGGTTATATATATAGCTTATGCCAGAGAAGTCCTACTCACCGTCTTCTCGTGGCAGGGACGTTGTTTACATAATTGAGAAGACGAATAGCGAATGTCCGGCGCTTTAACCGAGTTGATAGATACGGAGAGTTTACCTAGGGGAGTTGGAAAACACTGATTCCAAACTAATGGTGCACATGGGCTCCAGGATCCTGAGAGAACAAAAGGTGTGTGAACCAATTATTGGTCACCGGCTTCATATCATTCTACGTACCAATTCTTTCTTCCTGTACTATATCCTTATATGCAATCTTTCTTTTATATATTACGACCATTGAATTAACTACTTCTATGAATCCGGTGTTCATCTTGCTGTGCTAATGCAGTATGGCAACTTAGACCGATGCATATATGTGCCTAGTCCTACGTTGTAGTTGACTGACTGACACCGGCTACCATGGGGATGCATCTCCTGACGTTTCTCCACTGCCTTGTGGGTCAGATTTTCAGGTCAAAGGCTCCGGATGTTACCCCCTAAGAAAATCACCTGCTTCGGTTTGGGCACCCGGGTAATATCACAACCCTCACACAAATCAAATGAGATTTTTGTGGAGCATATGTATCTGGTGCCTCCTTGTACCAATATCTATGTGTTCAAATAAATAATGTTTCAATGATTCATAAACTCAATTTCTAAACACTCAATAATTCTTTCAAAACAAATGTATAAGATATATGGAAACTTTACAAAACAGTTTAGAAAGAACATATCTTCATTTATTACATCAGATTATATCATGTGATTAAACTTCAAATTTATAATAATTCATATTTGAGTGGGACTTAGTGATAAGAAACTTCACTACTGATAGTTACAGTGTTTAATTCATCAATTAAGGCTGTCGGAACGTGTAATATGTATACCCAACCACCGCCTACCTCGACATATGATATTTGCTTAGGTATGAGTGAGCTGTAAGAAATCTAGGTGAAGGTAGATCAAAACATTACTTTATTCCATGAAGTTATCGACTGTTGGATTGAACTGTATTGGTACATACAAACTACTTGCTTGCTGTATACATGATCACTGTAATCAATGGTTGAAAAGATTGAGTGACGTTGTTTAGAACTGGTCAGAATGAAGTAGTTGCATTCATTCATATGTTGAGTTTTAAAATAGCCTCACACATTTGATTCGGTGAATTCAGTTTTTCATTTCGAATCATACTGTCTAGGTTTAATCTTTCCTACTGTCAGTGATGCTGTTGTTAATTCTACTACTAATCCTACCACTGTGATATTTGTTTTTATAATTTCTTTTCGGTGTGTAGGTATAGTGTGGGGACTTGAACTGATACACATGTTTGTCAGATTTTGTGTTAGTTATGACTGACTGCCTGATAGCCTAAGTTATTTTAGCACAACTACCACTGTAAAATTTATTGTTCATGGTATTTGGAAGAGAAGCAGCTTAGTTGGATACAGCTAGGACTAAGATAAAAGATCCGTCGCTTCCGTCATCTGTCGAATATAACTGATCAGAAAAGTCTGTTGGCTCACCTACTGGTCAAGCAGTCACTGACTGCTTAAAACTTACTCTTCTAAAAATTCCTAAATGTCCTTTTTTATATTCACTTATAAGACCAGTGAACTATAAATGAAGGTTCTGATATGAACTTTTGGAATTATGAATTGATCTTTCAGGTTTTATAACACTGAGCAACATGGCTCAGAACTGATTGCAATGGTGTAAAAGTATTCACTCTTTAACGTCCTTTAGATCTGAAGTTCCAGTATTTATTCGTTTGTACCTTTTCATTCAATCTTCTGGAACTATATTCTAAAACTTGAGTCTTTCTTACGGTCATTGTCATTACAACTGCTTCAACTCTTAAGCTGTTGCACTTATTAATTTATTCTCTTTGTGATGATGTGAGGTAGGGAGTCGGACAAACGTATATTTGTGAAAGGTTACATATTGATTATGACTGACTGAGTTATCTTTGCACATGAAATTAAATCCAAATTAGTAGTGACTCTAGACAAGATGATGTATCAGACTAAGGATTTTCTTTATAACGAGCTCTGATTCAGAGGATCACATAGATCGTAAGCTCGAATTTTTATCAACCCGCTTACATTTGAGAAGCTAAACGATGTTACTAACCTGAACACTAAAATATATCGCTCATAGCTGAGTAGAGGAATTTGTACTTGGTTAATGAGTGGGATCGATCAACTAAGGCCATGACTATTTAGCTATTAGATAGAAAAAAAAGAATGAATTGCCATATAAACCTTTAACTCTGTATAGTTTATAGGCCAGCTTGGTACCAAGTTGAATTATATCTCTTAAAAGCGACATTGTTGCAATAGTGAAATAATTACTCTAATGCAAGGAAAACAATAGCAATATGCTACAAATATTTCGCATTATTACAGTTATTTAGGCACATCGAATAAAGGACAAAACTGTAGATATGTGCCAAAAGCCACAACCCGAACTATGAAGTATCATGACACTAACGAATGAACTTAGGTGATATAACATTGAAAACTGCAATAACCTTCAAATGATATGCAGAACAAACTCCCAAAGAATTGATAATAACTTGGAAATGAATAAGATGGCACGATGGAGTTTATCTATACTCAAGCATAGATTCACAAATAATATTTTTGAGTGAGTGTACTAAAAAATTGATAACGAAACCTTGATATCACAAAATGATAATGTTTACGTTAACTACCAATTAAAATAAGCTATTCACTAGGTATTTGAGTATGATCCACACTCTAGGAGGACTAATAATACTACCCGGTAACCTTAGTCAAGGTAGATGGAGTGGATTTTGGATATCAGTCGAAAGTTAAACGCACTAACCACTAGACGACAGTTAAACAGTAGTTGAATTAATAGAATTTTCGCCATTTAAATCAAAGTCAGGGTAATATGTAGGATATTATCTTCCATATAAATAGCTGCAATACTAATTTATAAAATGTGATGACGAGTTAATTATATTTTAAGATATGACTTTGCCATTCATGAAGTATATCAGTTACAAAACGATCCTAATAGAAAATAGTTTTCACATGCCATTATGAAATATCCCGGTTCGACTTATCACAAATTAATCTTAATAAAACCAGCATAGTATGTTTAGTAAGATAATGGAGGCTAACAACCCTTGTGAGCACTCATACAGTCAAGATCTGAGTCTGCTTTTAATTTTGCTCGCTTAAGAGTCACACAAAGAACGGAATGCTTCAAGTCGAACACATGTCGCCTAAACACATCTACTTCAGGATATCATATACAGAAGTTGTATATTAATAATTTTATGTACACCTGCCAGATGAGTGAGAGAAGAACGTGTTATCGGGGTTTCGAAAAATCATTGGAATTCGAAAGACCAGACTTACCGGAGATGATTGTAAAGGCAATCCAGTACGGCGGTTGAAGAAAGGAGTACCGTCATTGTGAAACGATGATGAAGGCCAGACGGAGACGGAAGTAGCGTTTCGTCTCCTGCTTAATCTAGGCACCGGTTGAGAACTAGCACTCGGTGATGTTAATAGTACTGAGTCCTCTGAATCTGTGCCTAGCTGAGATTCAGATGCATGGTCACGCTTTTTAGCCGTACTATAACTGAGTTGGCTACATTGTATGGAGTCTCTGTGTACATCGAAGGAAGAAGAAAAACAGGCATTAACAGGTGGTATACATACTGAACCAATATTCGAATCGTCAACTGAGTTCATAATTAGGTCACGTTCGACATTCAGTAGCGTGAATTCTGCAATTACTTTGTTAATACAGCCTTCACGTTGCACACCTGGAGTTTTGTTTATGGTAGGGTGACGGAAGAGGGCATTTCATTGGAGTCGTCTGAATCTTTTGTTTCGGAACTAAGTTCATGAGCGTAACAACTGATACGTTGCTGTTTACGGGGGGGTGACTCTAGAGGAATTTGGGATATTCTATTGGAGTCAGTCAAACGAGATGACTTTTTTGTTAAAGTCGAGTGACCTGATTCGGTACAATCCAAAGAAGAGCAGGGTGGTAGGATGTTGTAAAAGGGGTTATCAAACGTAGATTGTATAAACTTTTCTTCTGTATCTGCCATGACAACAATAGGACTTCTGACAACTTCTTCGTTTGAAGAGCATTTAGGTAAGTTAAGAAAGTTTGGCGGATGTACATTAGGCTTTCCGTAGGTTGTACGAGAAACGAGTGCAGTGTTCCTTTTACGAACATCCAAGTCAACAAGAGTTTCAGGTGAATGACATCTAGCACGACTAAGCATAGTGAAGCTATCTTTATTCGTTGAGTAAGTTGAATTTAGGCAAAGTGGACAACCAAGAAACTGTTGGGGAAGATGTTTTAGAGTTACAACAGTGATGTGCAAAATCTCCTTTTCACTAATACAAACAGGTGTAAAAACTCGTTTAATAGGACTTTCACAACCATCCATCTGACGAACTATTTTGGAGACTGAACTACCATCATGATCATCATCTTGACTGTTTTTATTCCTGTCACTTAAACAGCCCATACTCAGTATATCTGATGCATCCATAAGAAAAGAATCACCCACTTGAGAAATGCGATCACATACATAGGATCTGTAAAGGAAGACAAACAAGAATGGAGTTAATAGTACTAAAAAAGACAACTAGTTACTAAGTTTAGAAAAAAGATGACACCAACCTGTGAGTAAGCTTATATCTGCGAGGACGACCTGGTTCTTTGATTGCAGCCATTAAAGGGGATGTTTGTATGTAGTCCAAGAGCTCAATCTGACAACCGGAAATAGAGATTCCCCTATTTTTAAAACTGAAAGTTTCAAATGAGACAACAGACAAAATCAAATTGAGTGTACTTAAAAACAAATAATATGACTAGTAAATTCAGGCAGATTGCCTCAGATTACAACATTCTAAATACCCAAGACACAGAATAATAACAAAAAATCAAATAAAAGTGTGTGTGAGCACATTAAAAATATCGTTGAATTACTTATGAGGGAGAACTTGGGCTGTCCATTGCTCCATAACATAGACAGGAAGCTGATTATCTCCACAATGTTCTAAACAGTTTTCTCCGACAAAAAGTGTTTCGATGGTTAGCGTCAATTTATCGCACTGAGAACTTTGCCGAACATCATCACAACAATTATCCTAAGAAAATGTGTTAATCGAGCAAGCAACATGCCTTGGTAAATGCTTTATCCCCTTCATTCTTATTAATTCTAGGTGTCCCGACACTAGCTCCATCTATATATTCAACTAATCCTCCATAGATTTTAGATTGCTGAGACAATATGAACCTGCATATACATTGTAGGACACCAGGACTTTGGTTGCTACCACATAACTTAGAATTAGGGACTTGAGAAATTAGTAATACTGTAACGCCTGAACCTACTTGGTGCATTTTCTAAAGAACCATTGTCAATCATGCTTAAGGATTTCGGGATTTAGTATTAATTTGGATATTTAATTAAATAGCTTTGCATGTATTCACAGAGATTGTCCCAGACGTTCTAAGGCAAAGCTACCGTTTTGTTTTTGCACATGAGTGTTGAAAACTGCAATTCATACATCTGTTATATTTCTAGCTTGTTACGCCTAAGTGATAAGCTACACGCCACGAATGACAATCAGCTGTTTCGATGACGAAAACTAGAAAACAGCTGATAGGTCGGGAGGGTCCAGGTAACCTTGATAACACTTCAAACAATACTGAGATTTTAACTAACAAAGAAATATTTCGATGCTAATCACTATAAAATATTTTGTGTTTGTTTTCAACTAAAACTTAAAGTTTCAATTCTTATAATCCTAAAGCAGACTACTCCTTTTTTTCTACTTACAGTATCTGGATTCAGATTCTTCGAGTTGAGACTGAAAGTCATAGTCCTGAGTTAGTCCTTTTGTAGCATGTCACTATATTTATCCAGCTTTCTTTCGAAAAAGACGATGAAGGCATCAGATATTATTTTTTTCACCAGCAGATTCTAGGATATGATCGTACTGGGTAAACTGGTAGTTCTTTGCTTCCGCTTTAATTCGTTAACTGTTCTGAGTTGCTATAATTTACTTGATAGGTTAAAAGTCATTTATTACCCTACTGTCCACAATGCTTAAGTTATCTGTTTATCTTGTAGGGCCAGCCAAATGTCACTAAGCCCTGGCCAAATCATCCGGCAGTTGGGTCATTGATTATCAAACAAATCATCGAACCTCGTCAAGGTAAAGGACAACCAGTGAGCATCAGTTAATCGTATGCCATGGACAGGTCCGTGCGGCAGTGGTCTCACCTTCGTTTGTATCTACTTTAACTAACATATTTCTGTAGTAACGTCCTCTGTACTGTACAGTCTTCAAAGCATCTATAGTACCTTGATACGTCAATCGGGTAGTCCACGTAAGGTGCTGGCCACGAGGTTTGACATCGACGTTCGCTAGTTTGTCGCACCATTCACGTCTAACTCGATTAGGCCTCCAATCATTTTCGACATGGATCATCTACGTTGGTTATCTACAATCTTATATCGACGCGTAGATTTAATAATATGTAGGACCGGTGAAACGTCACTGACCCCTAGCCAATTCATCCTACAGTTGGGTCACTGAGTCTGGAGTAGTTAATCGACCCTCGTGAAAATCGAGAGCAACCAACATACACCAATTAGTTGCATGCGATGAACTGGCCCATGCGTTTGTGCTCGCAACTTCTCCTTTGTACCTACTGTTACCAATACATTTATGTAACAACGTCCTTTGTGTTATGGAGTCTTCAACGCAGCCATAGTACTTTGATACAACGGAGAGGTAATCCACGTTTACTGCTGACAGCAGGGTGTGACTTCTAACTCAGCTGTTGGTCACACCATTCCCGTCTAACTCTAATAGGCCCCCTATCACTTGGCATAGATCATCTGCATTGGTGATCCACAGATTTCTATAAACACGACGCTGTAAGTGCTATCTTTTTTTCAGTACACGTTTCAAATGCACAGACATTTCACTTATGACGAATTAATAACTGCGTCACCATTAACGTTCAAACAACTATCTAGCGGTAAACAAATCCTCAACATAAATAGCTCCATAAGTCATTACCGAGTAAAAATGTATTTATTGATACTCCGCTAATGAATCTACTTCAAATCCACTCGCTGAGATTTCAGAAATATATTCTTCCTCCCCAACGTTCCACATCAACTCGGTGCCCAAATACTGCGAAACCATTCGTTTCGATTTAGATGAAAGTTCTTATTTAGCTCTGTTAGTCTTTAAAATTTATGCTAACATTAGTTTTACTGGACGCATCTGCTGAAAGCTTCCTATCACGCACACCAGATCACGTATATATACCCCGTGTTACACAGTTCTTGCAACTGCTAGCCTACCTACATCGAACGCTTTTCAACATATCGATGGTTTACCAAAAATATCTTCGAGCCTCTTCATTTCTGACTTCTGGTTTGACTGCGTGGTATACTTTGATTATAAAAGTTCTACTAGCCAAGGAGTTGTCAAATTCCGAATACTTATGGCACCTTCTAATACTACCTACTCCGTTCCATTTTCTGCTTTACCGGCTGCAGTCTTTGTTTGATTGCAACACTTCTGTTGAACGTTTTTAAGTCGCTCTCCACCTTTTAGGGATACTGCCCTGGAATAATTTTCAATATGAGACTACATTTGTGTTTCTCTCCACGCCATCTTTGCTCGCTGTGTTCGAGGACATTTATTAATCCAGTGAATTCTGTTTGTAATGGCCAGTCAAAAAGAAGTTTTAAGTAACATTGGTTATTCATATTTTGTTACGGTTTTACCATTCCAAAGCGAATTTCAGTTAAGGGTGTCTTACTGTTTCCCTTATGTAGATAATGCCATTTCAGTTGTTTTCTTATGATTCGTTTTACATGATCGGGTTTCAAAATTCATTAATGCACTTCATGGCTAATCATAAGAGAACTTTTTGACTCATATATATGTATATATATCAGCCAAGTAGCTGATTCTCTAAGTTTTGATTGTACTTATAAGCACTATTAATAGCCTGCAATGCGACGAGGTGAAAATGTAGGATTATCCATCTTGGACCATTCCGTTTAAGCAATATCTTCGCACTTTGTCTTACTGACTCTTCCCCTGACTTAATATTATTATCATTACTATCCACAAACACCTTATGGGTACATAAAGTTTGTGAATAAACCATTTCGGGTTTCTTCAAAAACGTAATAACACGCAAGTTTCAATAATGTTAGCATTGTATTTGTTATATTTGAAAAAGAGAGTAGTAACAATAGAATAATAATAAGTCAGGTTCTGTGTAACTGAGAAGAATATTGAATTGAGTTTAAAGAACGGAAGGGAGAAGATAGGGGAAGAGAAATAAAGGAGACATGAAATACGCAAATAGTTTAATAGGGGTGTTTATGGACACGGAACAAGAATAGATGACTATGTATGTATCGTCAAATTAGTAACAAGAATGAAATGGAAAATAAAGAAAATATGATTTGTTATTGTGGTGAGATGTCGTTCATCTATCATACAGGGCCGAAAAATACAAGGAAATCTTTCTACGCTACTTCTAAATGACTTCAAGTTAGTTGGTCAACTATGATCATGATCACCGGCCGAATCAAGAAAGGCTATCGATTTTAATGCATCGTGACTTTTATTCTTCACGGTTTCTGCAGAAAAAAGATGTGTGGAGCAGCATACCAGCAGACATTCTCCTCCACGTTTTATACTGTGTCATTTAACTTACTTGCTATCCAGATATCAAGGTTAATAAATGATATACTGACATATTTTTGCATTAGAAGATTTGATGCTACAAAGTGTTGAAAGAGAAAAAGTTAAATATCCCAATTATGTCACTGATTCACATATATTTCATGGCAAATATGCGGCATTTACGATCCTCAAACCTGCGTAATGATACAAGTATGTTAACATAAATCTGGTTTCTATTTTCATATGTACCTAATCGGTAGCTCCATTCAGTTAATACTGTGCATAACCTGTCTTTGTTTAAGCTTCATGATTCTCAACGTCAACAACCTTGCTACAAATGATTAGTTTTAATTATTCTGCAAATTTAATTTTCTCGAATACGATGCATTAGTATTTTAAGATTATTTATTTATATTGACAAACTTTGGTACTGACACACCTAAACTGTCTTTCTATATGGTTTCGATATTCTGAACAACATTTTTGCGTCAGCAGCATCACTGTGGAAAAGGCACCAGTTGTATGAGACGTTTTTTCGTCTCTAGGAACGTTGGCAAATGATATTCTTGAGATTCCTCTGACGCACTTACATCAATCTCACAAACCATTCTGGGTTTTGTATGTACTAATGTAGTGACATTGAAACCTAACCGCACAATCCTCGAAGCTCAACACGGGACAGTTGTGGAAAGAGATAGTTAACAGTTAACGCGTAGTAAAACCCAACGATGAATAAGGCAGGACAATGAGTTGAATTAATTCGAATTGGTCGAACGGCATGTCTCGAACTTGCAGGCGTGGTCCCTGTTGAATGCATTTTTTGTGTCTTTTACTCATATTAAATATACTGTTCTATCTCCAGTCTGAATGTGTTCCCCATCATATATCGATAATTGTTACGATGCGATGAGTCAGTGTAGACAATGATGTGACTTCCACGTAAAATCTTATAGATTAGGCAGTTATATTATAACAAATCTACAATTTTATGATTAGGTCTATTATTAGATCAGTACTAATATCATAGTAGACCAGAATTCAACTTACCACTGCCGTAAGGGTATATTAATATTATATTTTACAATCTTATCGCAAATTGATAAGTGACGTTTTATTAGAAATTCATATACTTGGAAGCTGTTTTGGTGTTATTATTGTCACTTTCCCTTCATCACGGATTAAAAATGAGAAAAGTCAAAAATTTTCAAAACCAATGAATGTTGTTCTACTTAGAGAGATTTATTTCTGTATTTACTAACAAGTGAAGATTGTTGTACAGTGATCTTGGATCTCAGTATAGTGGCCGAAATATTATCATAGGTCATTTTCCCAGACGTTGTGGTTATTAACCGTTCCAACAAACTAGAAACATTTATGATTATGTCCCCTAAATTCAGCAATTCTACCAAAATAGCAAATCTTTTCAAATACAGTAGTGACAATTTAGAATTTCAGTGGGTCAACTTTATTTCTATATTATGTATATTACTCTGAATTTACTGACCACTAATTAACCGTTCAAAATAAGGTGTCGTTCCTTAACAAAAATTAAATATGTTCAGCGAGTATAGCTTCTGTATAAACAAGTTATTTTTAATAATCTTTTCAAAACCCGTGTGGTATTTTTTGTGCATCTAGCTACAGGTGTATATAAAACACCTGCATTCTTGAAGAACCAGCTTTTTCCTTTAAGCTATAA